TTGAAAGGAAAGAAGATATCTAGAAGATAATGGTACAAGGGAGGCTCCAAAAGCCAAAACATTTTGGAAAAGCTTGCTTCTTTGGCCTTTATTTTATTGTTAAAATCTTCCAGTGAAGGTAATATACTTGTCGTCCTTAATTAGATAAACCATAATAAGTCTCTAGAGGTTTGAACCGAAGAGTTACCTATCAATATCACCAATTTTTTTTTAATCAGTAGGAAAATGCCCCTGTTTCTTAATCTTGTCTTATGCATACCTTTTCCTAGTTTTTTCTTTTTTTTTTTTTGTTTGATGTTTTTGTTCTGCAAAGTATTGAAATCTTAACCAAATTATGCATATGCTGAATACTACCTTTTCATACCCACTCAACAAAATATAGTTAATATGTATAATCAATTCTGATAGGAGGAGAGATGAATGGGTAGTTATCGAAATAAGAGGGGTAGTATTTGGCATCTGCCAAATGTGGCACCTAACAATTTCCCTGCAAATTGCATACAGAAAAGTAAATTCATTTTTTACGTTAGGTTGCTTTTTGGGATGCTGTTAATAGATCATTTGGTGTGAATGGGTATGATATATGTCTTTGCATTCCTGTGACTTGGATCAGTCTTTCTTTCTTTCCTTTTTTTTGTTCCTTTTTTTCCTTTCTAATGATGTGTTGATCGTCTAGAGTCCTCAATGGACTGTATAGGCAAATTGTAAGGGTCAAAAGTTTTGTTAACCTAAACAGAAGTTGATAAAAAGGTTATCATTTATTTATTTGGTAATTTAATTCTTGATAATAGTATGCCGCATGTATCTTATTTAGCTTAAATGGCAAAAACTGTCACCCTAGGCAAAAGAGCATTTATTGCTGGTGTGGCTGATGACAATGGCTATGGTTGGGCAATCGCAAAATCTCTTGCTGCTGCAGGTGCTGAAATTCTCGTCGGAACCTGGGTTCCTGTAAGTCAGATTGACATTTGTCATAGTGTATCAGTGTGGAGTTATTTTAGAAGGTTTCTTAGCCTCTTCATATATGCTATTCAGGCCTTGAACATATTTGAAACAAGTCTACGACGTGGGAAATTTGATGAATCGCGTGTGTAAGATTTAGAGCTTATGTTTCTTTTCAGCTCCTTTTCTAAATAATCAAGGGTAACACCTTTTCATTTGACTATGCTAATGAAGGATTTAATTGCAGGTTGCCAGATGGTTCTCTACTGGAGATAACAAAAGTTTATCCTCTAGATGCAGTTTATGATAACCCTGAGGACGTCCCTGAAGATGTAATTTAAAATTATATGGTGGTCATCTTTAAGTTTGTATGTTGTAATACTTTTTTAAATCTCTATGGTGTTATCTCAATCAGGTAAAAGCAAACAAGCGGTATGCTGGTTCCAGTAATTGGACTGTCAAGGTACATGATGAGCATCTTGCCACTCAAAGAACTCTATAATTTATTTTGATCTTGTGAACTAATTATGGGTTGGATCAGATGGTTTCAGATGATATATTTTCCATTCAAAGAATCTGTGTGATATCAATCTAATTTCATGAACAATTTATCGGTCTAGCCAAATGGTTTCAGATGCCAGATGTTCAGGGAAAACTTTAAAGTATACTGTGTAAATTCTAGACTGCAGCATTAGTAAGTAATACTCTACCTCTACAGGGCCACCATGTTTACGATTACCATTGTCGAATTATTGAGATTCCATCCACTTCGTGTTTTGTCCTTGAAAAGAGAAGAAGCAACATATCAAACTGTATTTCATTTCATCTCAGCTTCTGTATTAATTGTAAAGTTTTTATCATCCTGTTCTTTGTGTTGGTTTTCTCTGCCTTCTAGAAAGAGGTCAAACATTGGAGTTCCTTGGTTAGGAATTCTACTTTATGAACTTTCATATCCCTTTATATTATTGAACTTTCATATCCTTTGTGTGATACTTGTTTCAATAGCTATCTTGCTGTGTTATTCTTGTTCAATTGAAAAGAAAAGAAAAGAATTATTGTTTTTAATGTTCCACAGGAGGTTGCGGAATCTGTGAAAGAGGATTTTGGCAGCATTGATGTTCTTGTTCACTCACTTGCTAATGGGCCAGAGGTGAGGTACTTAATCATACTATAAATATGTAACTGTTTGATAGATTACCTGACTGAGTCATACTCCATGAGTAGGTGACTAAACCTCTGTTGGAGACTTCACGGAAGGGATATCTTGCAGCAATCTCTGCATCTAGCTATTCATATGTTTCTTTACTGAAGCACTTCCTTCCAATTATGAAGCCAGGCATACTTCTCATGGAGTTCCCTTTTGCTTGACATCCTTTATTAGTCTTTTCTTACAGTTGTATTAGTTCTTAAGGATATCCCATTTAGCACAAGCTTGGCTATTGTTTTGACAGGTGGTTCTTCCATTTCTCTGACATATATTGCTTCTGAGAAGATCATTCCAGGGTATTGATATTTCTTTCTGGGGCTTTTTTAAATTTCATAATAAACCAAGTCTAAAGTTTTAAGATGCACAGATATGGAGGAGGCATGAGCTCAGCGAAGGCAGCTCTTGAAAGTGACACAAGAGTGAGTTATATGATCCAGTTAGAATTATTCGTCTGTTACTCTTTAATACTTGTAGCTGATTTTTTTGAGTGATGCAGGTACTTGCTTTTGAAGCTGGGAGGAAGCATAAAGTCAGAGTCAACACAATATCTGCCGGTACTGTGTCCCATTTGCTGCATTATACTTAAAAATGGAAACTAAATTCTCATATTGGTGGTTCTGATAAACAGAATTTAGTAGACTATGTAGTGGATATGCATCTCTATTCTGCAAGTGTTTCAATTTGGCTCTTGAATTGTGACCAGAGGACCCAAGGCTGTTTCAATAAACTAAGACTAGTTCAGTATTATGTAAAAAGCTGCTTTGGTAGCCAGGTGAAAAACCTGCATACGAGAGTACATTGGGATGTTATCATCGCCATGCCTCCATTTAGTTTATCAAGGCTCCTTTTCTCTTTTATTTTTTAAAATCAAGTCTCAGTCCAACATATGTTTTTATTTTTATTTTTTACTTTTTTTATATGTGTGCAAAATTTTGTTAAGATCCTGCATATTTGCAAGTTATTTTTGGCGTAAATTACCAAAAGAGAGTGGAACCTTAACTTAATTTCTAAAGACAAAAAACAGTTTACCATCACCACAAGTGTGTTCTTCACTTGTCTGAACTGAAGCGAAGGTTTTTTGCCCTCTTTATGAATTTTGATATCTTTCCATCCCTAATAAAAAATACACTTCTATTTTATGCTAACTGAAAATGTTGTTTATCCAGGTCCATTAAGAAGCCGTGCTGCAAAAGCCATTGGTTTCATCGATATGATGATCGATTATTCACTAGCCAATGCACCTCTCCAGAAAGAATTATCCGCAGGTAAGCCATTGAATGCTCTTCTGCTGCTAGCGGCATTTGTCCACTTCTGCTTGCAAAATCTAGAATGCTAAACTCAGAGAACAAATAACACAGATGAGGTCGGGAACACGGCTACTTTCCTAGCTTCTCCACTGGCATCTGCTATTACTGGTGCTGTAATATACGTGGACAATGGTCTGAATGCAATGGGCGTAGGAGTTGACAGTCCTATATTCAAAGATCTTGACATTCCAAAGGCAAATGCCTGACATGATAAATAAGACCGAGGCCTGTTTGTAGATTTGGAGCTTGAAGAATTAGAGTCTCTCTTCAGTTTCTTTTGTACATTCTTAGGGTCAAAACCAACAGTGGGTTGACCACCGGCTTCATCTAAATGTTAGGAGTATTATGCTGAGACTTTTTTCTGATGTAAGTTTTCTCATAAGAATTTCTACCTTGCATGGACTCTGTGACAGTGAGAAGATGATTGTTTCTGGTTTTTGTGGATGTAGTAGTTCTCTTGATTCCAGCACAAGAAACACTAAAACATGGACGATGATCCAAACATCATTTGCTTTAGCACTCCTCTCAAACGGTCTGCTATCCCTCTAGAACTAGATAACTCCTGATTGCACCCTTGACTTCGTTGGGTATTTGTCTCGCTTATTAGCACATTGATGAAATCTAAATCAGTAAAAATTGAAACTCTTATTAAATTTGACAGTAATGTTTGAAGTTGAGCTTCATTTAACTTGCGAAACAGAGTAGATGATAGGCAGGAAAAATTGTGAGAAGTGGAAATGCATATGGTAAGATCAACCATGAGGGAAAAAAATATTAAAGCAAAGAAATTAAAGGTAGATCACAAAATACACAAGTCTAATGACGAATGGCCAACTTACTTGGGGGTATTTGCCAAAATAAGCCAATATTTATTGAAAAGTTGTGAAAGTAGTCCAAACTTTTGAATTCTTTTTAAAGTAGGGATTTTGCCATTGAAAAGAACGATGTCAAAGCCACCATTTTTAAATAGCTACTTTAAAGTAGTCTTATTAAAAAGGTGACTTTAAATGACTTTAAAATAAGCAAAGCAAACTAGAGACAAATTATGATTAAAATAAACCATTTAAAGCCACATTCTCAAATAGCGACTTCAAAGTTACTATCTGAAATAGCGACTTTAAAATTATTATTTCAAAGGGCAAAATCTCTACTTCGGAAAGAATTTTAAAGTTTGGATTACTTTGGAAATTTCCAATATAAATTGGATTATATGGGCAACTCAATTATACCTTCAGCACCAAAAAAATAGAAAGGCATCAGCGCCAATATTTGATCAATAATGACATGGGAACATCTTTTAGCGATATATATGTATTGCAAAAGCTTTATACTTTTACAACTTGCTCCATGAAAGCTATTGGACATTGTATGTTATAGATCTTCAAGCTATACATAACATTAAATTAGAACATGTTATGCTTCAACAGGTGAGCCAATTGAGCTACTTTACACACACAAACCACACCCCCCCCCCCTCCTCCAAATCTGTGTGCATCAGAATAGCTTTCTCCTGCACGTTGGGTTGCTGGCACGACCAGTTTCAGTCATTTCTGTTCTGGTAGGAGTTGCGGACGTTTTCTTGAAGATTCTGCCGTTTCAAATTCTTTCAATTCACACTCTTCCTGAGATACTCCTGGTGGTGGAGGTGTATCTAATGCCAGCTGAACGTTCTTTGTCTCCAACTCTTCTTCGAACTCTTCATCAGCTGGATTGTCCACATACTTCCTGTGTGGCATGAGCTCTTCACCCCTTGGCACTGAATCCATCATAAGCTGCAACAGAAATTTGAATCTTCGGGAATGAAGAACGTCGAAAATTACTAACAATTATAGAAACCAGGCAGAGCTATAAATTTCAATTAGATTTCCAGTTTTGTACCTTCCAATCAGCAAAGTCAAGTCTGAAAATAAAGTGGCTGTATTTAACCTCCCCTCTCACAACTAAACGGCGAATGGGAGCATTTCTTGGAGCTGGAAAAGAGCAAAAACATAGAAGAAAAGAGTGAAGCCATTTTCTGAATGTTAAAGAAATGAAACTCTATAATAATTCTAAATCGACAAATATTTGGGGGATTTCTTACAAAGTAAATGAGAGCCGTTTTCATCCACCTCCATGAAAACCCGACCATCTCTTACTAAGAAAGAGAGTGCAAACAGATTCTCAACCGTTTGAGCAAAGGAATGCCTGTTAAGTATAAGATTCTCAAGCTTAACAGGATTATTTTTCTTCAGGACACCAAACATTACTGCAACAATCATATCATTAAGCGTCTCCTCCTCTGAATTGACCTGTGGCAAGAAAAATAGGTGAAGTCGAAGCAATTAACTTTCAAAAATTCATGTAGGAGTCCGCGCCAACTTGTTCTGGAAATAAAAGGGAGAAATTTACAAGAAAAACGAGAGTTTTTAACAACAATGACTAACATAAATAACACACTTTGTAAATTGATGACTAGGGAGGCAAGAAACCACATCTCCTTTGGTTTTTCCTTCTCGATTAGCCTGCGATGTCTTCTAACAACTGTACATTTCTGTGGCTTAAACATCAATTCCATTGGCCCAATACTAAGAAAACAGCAATCAAGTTGAAAGCGGATTAGAACAAATTAAGACAAAACAGGAAGAAAAATACAGAGACTTGAGGATTCAACAAGACTTACATGGTCCGACATCCTATTCCTTGCTTGAAAACATGTGCAGCAGCACGGCCAATAGCTTTCCAACTGATTGAATTTGAAGAATTCCCAGATTGTATTCTCTGAGAATCTTCCACAAACTGTCTTTTTAGTGAAGAAACAAAGTTTGCGGGGGTGAATGCCCCAAGACTAAGCGATTCAGTCGAGGTGAGCAACGTGGTTGTAAGATTAAGCATAACCTGTGCATCTGCAACTTGCTCCCTTGGTTTAACAACTGAAGATGAAATAATTAGTGAATTATTACAATGAGCTTATGAGCATAGTTACTGATATTCAACTTCACTAGTAGAATTCAGACACTTGAGTTGCAGCTGTTGCAGAAGTGACGATCTTGTACAGGGGAATTAAGCAACAGCAAACTAGTAAAAGCTGATACCAAGTTCATAATGGCTTTATTAACACGGTGCAAAATAAACAAAATCTTCACAAAAGGTACTCCATAGATGGTGTATAGTCTAAGCAGCACTTCAAGAATCTGACAACTAAATGTTGAACACAGGATATCATTCTTTTGCATCTTTATTACAAATTATTCCTAGTTAAGTGTATCAATCAGAATGAAACCCTGAAAATTACCTCAATAAAGTCATAAAGATCACAATAATTAAGTCTCGACTTTCAAACAGTGTTAGCGCATAAAGTAAAATCTGCTTCCAATAATCTTAGTTCCTGATTTCTTTTCCCACCTCATTTCTTGATGATTACGATGAAGAAAGATCAAAAAATCTTGATGAATCAAAACATGCACATGACCTAGCAAGAATGCCAAGACACAAAACAACATGCCCTTGTAACCATTTTGGTTTCTTGCATTATAGAAAAAAGGCCTCTCTTTGACAGGAGAGTAAAATTGTCCAAAACAACAGCCAGTTACAGTAATACAGGGTGATAATTTTGCAATGCAAGAAAATTAAAACTAGTATGATATCTTCCATCTACCCTTAAATCACAGGGTAAATTGGTACTTTTTTTTTTGTCCTTTTGAACTTAGAATAAGGCACTTATAAGCATCAGAGGCATTGTTCAATTGATAAGTTACTCGTCTTTTTCCCATTTAAGGAAAAGAAGGGAAGATTGTAATGGCTAGGCAAAGTCTTAATGGTCGCATCTTTTTCCTAAAAATATTAGTTATTTGGCCTCATCTAACCAGAAAACAGTTGATAATTAAAGGATTGCTTAGTCATCAACGAATTATTCACTTAAAACTAAGATCTTTGACTAAAAAAGAATTCAATTCCCCACCCTGCCAGTCAATTAAAAATCAACATATCTATTAAATACTGAATTTCAATACATTCCACTTTAGAATCTCTAACCACTAAAACACAAAAACAAGTCATATGTCCCCTTCCTATCAAGGGGGAACAGGTGGACCTTTCACCTAAATCCTAGCACTTAGTCCTGTTTCTTTGTCTTATTATGCTTCTTTCGCCTCATAAGTACAAACAAGTAATGTGATCAAACTATTTTGAGATGGGGTCCAAAAAAGTCTTACCTTGCTGATGCAACTTTTCCACATCTCCGACGATGGTTTTAAACATTGGTGAATCTGCACTTGCTATCTCATCTCTTCCCACTACAAAACAATATTTATACCAAAATCTGTATCAGACCCACGATTCTTCAAGAGAAAACCCATTACAAATCACAAATTCTTGGACCAAAAAAATGAAAAAAAAAATTCACCATTAATCCGATTATGTATGGCATGATAACCAGCACGTATTTCCCTGCGAAAGGCCTCAGACTGCCTTTGATCAGTACTATGCTCAGTACTTTGGTCAGTATTTTGATCAACAGAACCGTCTCTTCTTGTCATTGTTTTAGCTTGTCGCGATCACTTTATCCGCTGTATACATAAATACAAATATAGATAACAGAACTATTTATATATTACCCGTATTAGGTTATTCTTTTCCTGCTAATATTTGGAAACTCTTCATCTCCCACGGCCATTAACATAAATAAATTTCCTAATCTGCAATTTGCTTGTTAGTCAAGTTACTAAGACACTAATGCATCATTACGAAGGTGTCGTTTAGGGTTGAAACATTAATAAAGTTAGTGCTGGTTTTAGTTTTTTTTTTTTTGTAATAAAAAAAGAAGTAGGTTTTAGATTTGAAACAGGATTGTGTTGGTTAAAGTTTTAAAGCCCTACTAACTATAAGCGTCTCTTAATTTTCCGATATTAGTTTTGATAATATCAAAACCAATATAATTTGCTACAAAAATTTTAAGTTAATGATTTTGGCACTCTATAGCTATTTTTTTTTTGGGCTATGTCGGCATGTATAGTTATTCTGAACATTCCTCTCTTAAGTGTTTAGATCGTCTAAATGGCTATTTAAAAAAAAAAAACTTAACATCTTAGGCTGTAATATTAACCTTGTATAAGAAAACTACTATTGCATTTGTGCAATATTGTTACATGTATAATGAGGCAATACAAGTATTATGGCTTTTAGTCTCTCCTTTTTTTGGTTAAAAAGGTTTATATTTGTTGTGCACACAGTAATTCTTTCTTTAAGAACACAGTTCTACAGAGTTCTGCTAATTGCTCCTTTTTTAGGTTCTAAAAGTTTATTTTATCAATGCCGCTTCTTCTATTAAATTCGAAAAGTTTACATAAAGTTAAATTTGTTCCATGCCTTTTTGACTTTCTTTTGGCATGTCACTTGAAAATTTAGCCACTAGATATTTGGTCATTTTCGTTAATGGAAGAGAGGAGTAAATTCCCAAAAAGAGTGACTTTTTAATCTAACTTCCCAAAGGATGGTGATTTTTTAGCCTCTTCCCAAAGGATGAAAAACGCATCCAAGAAATGCGTTTTTTCAAATAAAAACGCAATCTTCAAATACGTTATTTTAATTTTCATAACTTTATTTAAATAGAAAAAATTGATCAAAAACGCATTAGTGGAATGCGCTATTTTAAAAAGTCGCATTTAGTGAATGCGTGTTTTGGCCCAAAAACCCATTTCGGAAATGCGTTTATTAGTAAATAAACTCATTTGCTAAATGAGTTTTTAGCATATCTAAGGAGTCTATTCCAGTCCCCGGTACTAAGAACCCTTCAATCCCTCTTTTAAAAAGTCTCATTGTGAAAATTTACCTTTATACTCTAATTATTTGGAGAAACTTAATGAACAAATTTTGCAAAAGAAACTTGTTTCTAGTCAATAAATTAAGTAACTAATTAAATAATTAAATTACTTGTGAGTGTTACTTTCATATAATTAATTTATGTTAAATACAAAATCTACTAGTTTCCCTTTCATAAAAATATGAGAGTAACACTTTTTGAATTTTACTTATAACCATTTGTATATTTAAGATAATTTAAATGATTCAGAATAAAATACTCATCAATAGCTAGTACTTTGTTCATGTAATAGAGGAAACCTATAAAGAATTGGTATGTTATGGGCAGTTTTTTTTTTTTTTTTTTTTTTTAAATTTCACATATTTAATTTATGTTAAATACAAAGCCTACTAGTTTTCCTTTCGTAAAAATATTAATATAGTACTTTTTAAATTTTACTTACAAATATTTATGTATTTAACATAAATTATATGATTCATAGTAAAATGCCTACCCCCATAGCTAGTACTTTTTTCATGTAATAAAAGAAACCAGTAAAGAGCTGGTATAAAGTTGGTAATTTATTTTTTTACTTTCACGTATTTAATTTTTATTAAATATAAAACCTACTAGTTTCCCTTTCGTAATAATATTAGTGTAACACTTTTTGAATTTTACTTTTAAATATTTATAAATTTAACATAAATTAAATGATTCAAAGTAAAATGCTTATAAATAGCTAGTACTTTATTCATATAATGGAGGAAACCCGTAAAGAACTGGTATGTTGTGGGTAATTTTTTTTCGACTTTCAAATACTTAATTTATATTAAATACAAAAACTACTAGTTTCCCATTCGTAAAAATATTTGTGTATCGCATTTTTAATTTTATTTACAAATAGGTGAGTGCTAGTGTCAGCAACCTCAGAGGAGTTCCGTAATTTTCCTTTCGATTAAAGTTTTCAAGATATGTGATTATTCTAACTCATTTTGGGCCATCATATTTTTACACTAAACATGTAGGATTAATTTTTTATGAATCGTAAAATTTTCTTTAGAATAAGTGTTACGGTTTTTAAGACAAATTACCAACATTTAAGATACAAAATATGTGCATGCATATGTAAAATCCAAAGTTCAAAAGCCTTTTAGGCTTTTGCAAACTTGAAATGAAATCTATACCAGATAAATTAATAACAATTATGAAATAACAAATTCTTTGGATCTTGACTTGTGTTAGTGAGCTAAATTAATAATAACTTCGATAAAATAACAAGATAATATTTTTTTAAAAAAAAAAAACCTTACATAACCCAAGTCAAGATCAAAGAAATGAAAAAATGTAGTACATATTGATAAACGCAAAAAGCATTCAAGTCAAGATCCAAAGCAATGAAAAAAAGTGGTACATATTGGTAAACGAAAAACGCATCCATCTAATGCGTTTCTTAATCAATAGCGCATTGCCGCAATGCGTTTGCTAGTGTATCAAAAAACGCATTCCACTAATGCGTTTTTTGATCAATTTTTCCTATTTAAATAAACTTATGAAAATTAAAATAACGCATTTGAAGATTGCATTTTTATTTGAAAAAACGCATTTCTTGGATGCGTTTTTCATCCTTTGGGAAGAGGCTAAAAAATCACCATCCTTTGGGAAGTTAGATTAAAAAGTCACTCTTTTTGGGAATTTACTCTGGAAGAGAGAGGTGATGTTTGAACCTGAACTATGGAATGTTCAATTACTTTTAAAAGCTGTTTGGGTTTTTTTTTTGAAGATTTTATAAAAAAAAATGTATTATAACGATTTAATGTATATAAGTTAAAAAGAAGATTGAGAAATGTGTTCATAAGAAACATAAAAATTTTAGGTTATTATCACGTTACCCCCTTAACGTTTGGTGCCACTATCAATTTTTCCCCTTAACATTATTTTTTAATCACTTTACCCCCAATACTAATGGTCAAATTTAACGGAGTTTGTTACTTAAAGTGAAAAGACATGTTTAACCCTTAAAATTATTATCACTTTACACCCATAAACTATAGTTTCATTATCAATTTACCCCCTAGAGTTATTTTTTAGGCAATTTATCCTATCATTAAACCAACTTAGCAAGTTAAAAAATTTTAGCAGAAAATACCTTCCTCTTTGCATAATAAAAATAATAAAAAATTTAGAGTGGCTCTTCTCTTTTTTAGTATCAAGAAAAAAATCAAAGTAAAAATTACAAATAAGAAAGAATTAAATACTTTTATTATTTTAAAATTATTTCACTTTTCTGTTTACTACCAAATTGACAATCTTAATGTAATACGATAATGTTAGACTTTTCTTTATTTTCTTTCTTTGCAAAATCTAATTTTCTTTCTTCTTGTTTTCTATCTCTTTTTCTTTTCCTTGTATTAATAAGTGTGAAAAAAAGAAATTTGAGAAAACCTTTTTATTTTTATGTTTTTCGATCTCTTAAAGTGAAAAAAAGAAAGAATAACCATTCCAACTTTTTTATTTTTAATTATATATAAAAAAGGGTAAATATATTTAAAATTTTTTGACCATACTAGTTAGATTAATGATGAAGTAAAATGCATAAAAAATAATGTTAAGAACTAAAGTGATTGTATCACTATAATCTAAACGAATAAAGTGATAACAACAATGTAGTAATGCTATAAAATAAAATGGTATTTTTGTCCAAAATTTTTTAACATGTTGAGTTGAATTACTTATAAGGGTAAAGTGATTAAAAGATAATGTTAGGGGGTAAACTAATAGTAGTGATATAGTTTAAAGGGGTAAAGTGATAATAACCCAAAAAATTTTCTTTAAAGAATTGCAATCCAAACAAGGAAAAATCTTCTTTCGAGCTAGACTAGAAAAACTTGAAACAATGATTTCAAATTTTCAAAGAATTGCAACATATCTGAAAAATTGTACTGTTAAAATCTAGTATAACTTATAAATAGAACATTCGCGAATGGTTTTGCTTTTGATGTGACAAAGTAGCAATCATTTAACTCAAGGTACTCTTTGATTTGTTGGGATATAATTGGGTACTAATCACTCAATTATCTATTTATGACCCATCTAATCTTTAGGTTTGTAATTAGTTTAAACTTACTGTACTGTTACGATTAAATTCCTATAGCGAGAGGATTGTTCTTGGCATATAATTGATTGATTTTATAAGAAGGGTTGAAGACAAGGGAAAGAAAAAAACATGAAAATTGGTCTAATGTTTTCAACATTTTCTCCTCATTTTTATGAAACTTAATTACACCCAAATATTGAATCTACTTATCATAGAAGTCCGAGAGTTAATTTTAGTTTGTGAAATCCAAAAAGCTTGTGATAATTATTATTTTTTGACTAATTGTGATAATTATTATTGGTGGCGAGGACGGAAAGTTACAAGTGGGTGGAATTGGGTTCTGGGACTCGCACGAATTTTACAAATTTTGCAAATATAATTGGGCCCCGCTTAAGAAACTCAAATACCCAACCCAATTATTTTGCGCGAGTAGAAATAAAGTGTCAGAATTGGCCGCTGTAGATTCCCCCTAAGGCCCTGTTTGGTCCTAGCTGTTTGGTGTACACAATCAGAGACACAAGTCAACGCCTCGAGCGTTCACTTTTTTGGGGAAGATATATGCAAAATAGGATAATTTCAAAAACCTCCCATGACATTTCTGATCCTGATAGTATCACTTGACACTTTCGAGTCTTGAAAAATCT